ATACGGATTGTAGACCAAGCCAGAAAAGCAAGGAGGAAAAAAGGCTGAGGCGTTATTTCCCGCCATCATCCAACTGTCCATAATTTAAATAAATTTAAAATGCTCAATGTAAAGGCGCGTCACGTACGTTTAAACAAAACAAACGACAATTCTTGGCGAAAATTATGTCTCCAAAATTAATTCTGCGCACGCTAATGTCTAAAAGGTTTGGAACATGGTTCAGCGAATAAAGGTAAAGGTTCAAAATCTAGCTGTACACCATCTTAAAGATGGTGATAACTTATTAACTGATAAATCTGACATTGCAAATAAAATTGGTGAAACTGCTTGCCAAAAATTCATCATCGACAAATTATGTCCCTGAGTTTCCAAAAGATATCAACACAACAGGAAAAGACAAAACTTAATTTCAGAATCAAATAACAATTGGAAGATTATAATGAAGTGTTTTCATTACATGAGCTACATACTGCTCGCCAGCAAGCTTCATGACACTGCAGCGAGGTGATGACAATACTCATTACTTCAGCTACTGAAGCACTTACCGGAACCATGTCTGATGGACACTTTTAGATATATTTGACAATATTTGGACGTCTGGAGAAATTTCCTCCCTTCATGGCGTAATGCCATTGTTGTACCAATACCAAAACCTGGCAAGGATCATACAGATCCGTCGAATTACAGACCAATATCTCTAACTAGCTGTGTCTGCAAAACCATGGAACGTATGGTGAAATAACAGATTAGTTTGGTATCTGGAAACCAATCACCTTATAACAGATATCCAATGTGGTTTCCGTAAAAACGTAGTACCATCGATCATTTAGTGCGCTTAGAACCTTTTGTTAAGAATGCTATAGTAAAATAAACAACATGCTGTATCAATTTTCTTTGATCTTGAAAAAGCATATGATACCACCTGGAAGCATGGCATTTTGGGAAGGATTTACATGATTTCGGTTTGAGGAGAGGCCGTTTGCCTCTCTTTATATCATTAGTTTTAAAACGGACAGGCAATTTCAGAGTCCGAGTGGGTTCAACCCTGTCTGATCGGCTATAGTTGTGATCAGGGTGTGTCCCTCAATCTGGCAGCATTTTATCTGTCACACTCTTAATTATCAAGATAAACAGTTTATCCAAGGTTTTAAACGATTCAATTGATGGATACTTTTTTGTGGATGATTTTTAATATTTCTTGTCGTGGTAAAATATGCATACCATTGAAGACGGCAATTGCAGTTGTGTTTAAATAAAATAAATAAATGGTGTCTTGAGACGGTTGACTTTTTCCAAGTCCAAAAACTAATTGTCTACACTTTTGTAGAAAATGCCAAGCCGCATAAAGAGATCCAGGAATCATTCTTTTAAATGGCACCCCATCAAAGTTGTTTAATGAGGCCAAATTCTTGGGTCTAATCTTCCGGCTCCCATTTGTCCTTTTTGCGCATATTAAACTCCATGAAGCTAAATGCCTGAAGGCACTTGATTTGTTGAAAGTTATTTACAACTCAAAGTGGGGAGGGATCAAACTACCCTCCTTCACCTGTATAGATCACTGGTCCGATCGAAGCTTGATTACGGCTCCATCGTATATGGTGGGGCCTGCACCAAAAGCAACCTCAAACTACTTGATTCTGTCCATCACCAGGGGTCTCAGACTTTGTCTTGGGTCTTTCAGAACCTCTCCTATTGACAGTCTCTATGTTGAAGCAGATGAGCCTTCTTTACACAACGTCGTGTCAAATTATCCTTACAATATATTACTAAACTATATTCTAGCGAGTCTAAGCCTGCATTCACACTGTGTCTTTCATCCCGTCTATGATGGGATTTATACAATAAAAACCTTCTCTTGTTCCACCTCTTGGGATACAGAATTAAGTCTTTCATTTCTGCAGCCGGCATTGAGTTGGAAAATATAGCTCCTTCCCGTCTTCTTTCTTCTCCTCCTTGGCAACTGGTGAGGCAAACAAGTTGACCTAACTCTGACAAAGTTTAAGAAATCTCAAACTAATGAATTACAATATAAACAAGAATATAATCAATTAAAGAATAAATATAATACATACAAATCCTTATTTACAGATGGGTCCAAGGATGGTGGTGCGGTGGCATGTGCCACTGTCATTGGATCCCGAACAATCTCCTCTCGTTTACCAGATAACGAAGCTCTATTTTTTACAGCTGGAAGCAAACGCCATATTAACAGCCTTAAAATATATTAAGAAACACACTAAATATCAACAATATATCATCTTTTCTGACTCTCTTTCTTGCCTTCAGGCTATTAAAAATATTTCTTGTAAACATCCACTTTTATTAGAAATTATTGAAATATATAATGGCTTGCTACTGGCCAATGCGACATCATCTTTTGTTGGTTTTACCCAGCCACGTTGGCATTTCTGGGAATACAATGAGCCGATCTTGCTGCCAAGGCAGCACTCAACAAATCTGTGACACCACTTCTTCTTCCTTACTCTGATTACAAAGCTGCTATAAGATCTTATATCCGTGATCTGATGCAAAGAAGTGGGACACCCAAGTAGGTATTAATAAATTACATGCAATAAAACCCTACATTGGTTACACCTACTTGGGTTGTCAGTCCAGATTTGAAGAGGTCATTATGCGACGATGTCGTATTGGCCATACCAGATATACTCATGAATATTTATTAAAAGGCGAAGATCCTCCGTTTTGTATCCCTTGTGATGAAAGGATCACAGTCAAGCATGTCTTGCTTGACTGCATTGAATATTCCATCACAAAGGGATATCTATTTCAAATCAAAACTCTGAAGGATCTTTTTAATAATGTCAGTTCTCATTTAGTTATTGCATTTTTAAAAAAATTAGATTTGTTGACTGATTTGTAAATAGATAAATATTTTATTATTGGTAGTTTATATTAGTAACTGAGATTGTTAGTGGCTGTACCCTCAAAGGGGTTGACGTAGCGTAAAATTATTGTCCTCCTGAGAGGGTACGTAAGTCCCAAAACTTTCAAAGTCAAATTTAAGTGTGCCAGGTTTTTAATCGTAGAATATGTGTGCTTTTAATTTATGGCTAGATTTCTCTTCTGTCGCCAATGGCTGAAGGGATGGTGTAAATCCAACTAGGGTCCATGCAGGTAGCATAAAGTAATGTCAAAGTCCCCATGGTTCCTAGTATGGTGATCTACCTTCAGTTGTTGGCGATCTATAGCAGCATAACATTTTTATTGCATTGTATTGTCTTCTTTAATTGGAATATTTTAGCTTTGTTCGCTAGTTTTAGTTGATATCTGTGATATTCTAGTTGTTTTACTGCCCTTCGTCGGCAGGTTTTTATAATGTACATATATTTCATTTCTAATATGATTGTGATATTTTATGTTCTCGTCACGATATGGCTGAAATATTGCCGATGTGACGTTAAATACTCACTCACTCACTCACTCACTCACTATGTAATTGGATTGGTCTAGACAAAGCCATGGTGGGGATATACCTATTTCACTGATATTTAGAAATATTACATTAAATCTAGAGCTCTGCACCAGCTAAAATAACTTAAGACTGGTTGTACTCACAGTTTTAAGGATAAATTCCAAAAAAGATAATTTTAAATTCCTGTACAGAGATGCGATGTAGCGTCAAAGCCGGCCTGAAGTGAACTGAGCAGCACAACCAAAAGGCAAAGATAACGTGTGCATATGACGTCACAATTTACAGCACACCCGAAAATAAGGCGTAGGGTTTCGCGCCAAGATAGTATCGGCACTGTGCCGAGAATTTGAAAACATAAAAGTTGGGTTTTTTTAAATATGTTTTTTTATAAAATTCTGCATTTTTTTAATTTCCAATCTCTTGTGAAATCCATATATAAGAAAATCCAGTCAAGAAAATAAGCTGATTAACATCTCATGCCCAATTAAGCTTACCATTATGGTCTTGTGACTTCGAGAAAATATACCAAAAGCAGTAATTAACTGAGGCTTAAATTACTACGGGATTCCCTTCTTTATTAAAAAAAGAAATAGTTTTCTAAGCGATGTTGGACTCCCTTCCTCAGGAACTATTGTTTTACGTTACTTGGTGGATTTGGCAAACAGAATGACCAGGTCATTTGTGGTTCCACAAAAAAGAGATGCTAGCTCGCCTTCCGATGTACCTTAGGTTACCAACACAAAACTATCAAAAAACTAAGTTCCCCATCGCTTACGATCTATTTTCCTCGAATCCGTACCATGCATAGTCTTAATTGGTACGTGTGCTAAAAAGAGCTGTTCGTGTACTGTCATTTAAATAATTCGGTATGTATTTTCCCTTAGATAATCCAAGAAAGCTATGGCAAAACAAGAAACCGAAGTTTGTTTGACGGAACGTGTCGGAGATAAAAAGGTAAATAGATAATATTTATTCATTTACTCTACTCTTATTCTTAGTCTAGCTGTCCAGTAAAACAGTAAATGCCTCGATAATGTCCATGTTAGAAGAATTGTGTGTCGACTTGAGAAAGCAACGTATGTTATATTTGGAATTACACTTCCTTAGTAAAGTACAAATTCTAGTACTTTCGGGATTGAGTCCACTTCGGGATTCGAACCCACACCCTCATAGTCAGGCACCAAATCGCCAGCACAGACTTGAAAAAGGTTTTTTCAGTTGATACGGTTCCGCTCAGACTTCCGAAGAATAGCAATCTAAGTGGCGCTACTTCTAAACTATATGTAACAGATATTAAAACAGAATTATGTTTCTTCGTAATGGACTACCAGAAATAGTCGCAAACGTTCACCAAGTCACGGTATTATACGGTATCACATTTGCCAATTACCCCACAACACACGGCTGTCTGATCTCAAATGGATCGCCAGTGTAAAATATGAATGAATCATTTTATATGGTTGCAGGGAGAAAGTGCTTATCAGGAGAATGTGGAACAAAGGAAACCACAATGGTCCAACAAGTTCCAGGGTATTATTGCAGTGCTTGGTTACTCTGTTGGTATTGGTAACCTCTGGAGGTTTCCATATGTCTGTCAAAAGAACGGAGGAGGTAGGTACAGTGCATTCTCAAAAATGTTTAACTGACAACGAAATGTTTTATTGACAACAAAGTGTGTCGCAGCAATTGTATGTACACTAAAACTACGGTTATAACGAACTCAACAGGACCATTAATTGTAGACCGTTATGAACATTTCAACTAAGGTATCCAGGAAGCGCCCGGTACAAATAAAAACAGTTCGTTACAAACGTATTCGTTATAAACATACTTTGTTGTACTTCCAGTAACATTAAACCACAGAGTGGAAGTTCAAACTGCAATGTTAAGTTTAATAAAATACAACGGCATGGTAAAAGAAATATATTCCGAGAGAATAATGTTCATCTTGTAGCAACAGTGGTCAAGCTTCCGAAATTGGCCAAGGCTTTATATCGGGGGTGAAAAGTACTTTAAATAACACAATGGCTGGTCTTGGTGTAATAAGAGATGTAAGAAACATGCGCATGCCCATCTACATAGTCTATATACCTTCCAGAAAGTAATGCACTATGCTGAATTAGTCTATGGCGGTTATATTCTTTACCCTAAAAACATCAAAATAAAGATATTTTCAAACCACAGCATACATTAGGTAGTAATCCATTCCTGATAACACATTATTACCTTCGAGGGAAACCATAACAGGATTAACATTTTTCAGACCATGCCCTAGGACAAAATATCACGTTACGAGGACGTGTTCCATGTCAAGACTAGATTTTGAAGGGAATTGCATATTTCATTCATGAATTTTTTCTATGCTTCACTACATTCATTCACAAATTGGCATTTCGGAATAACGTCACCTCGAGTTTCGCGTGCAATATTATTGTTATATAAACAAGGTTGTTCAATTTTTTCTAATCAAATACATACAACAATTAAAAGTCATTACATTTTTACTTCCATACTTCCTGTCCGACAAGGTAAACAAATAACATGGCTGCCCGATCGGTTTTACCGCTGTCAATCAAATTCAATGATCTTGTCAAGATTAATGGCAGATTAGTTGGAAGAGTAGAAAGTGTCATTTAAACTCAATGTTGACACATAACAGCCGATGAAAATGTTTCATATGGGCGTACGGTACGTGGTGCTAAGGTCTTCGCCTAATTATGCTGAAATTTTCATCCCCCGCAATTACAGGTGATGTGGCCTTAATATATGGAGACACTTCGATTAGTGTATACATGATACATATTTCTTCGGTAATAAACAAAATATATTCGTCATATTTGTCATATTGTGTTTAAGAACATTTCGGCACTCGTTTTGTAAACACAGTATGACATGGACACTCGTATAACATCCTCTTTGTAAACGTCTCTCACAAGGCGGTATCAGTTTTTGTTTGTTTGTTTACTGTTTAACATCATTGATATACGTTAATCGGGATACGATACTATGTGTCAACCAAGTCAGCGAACCTGACCACCCGATCCAGTTAGTCGTTCCTTACGACAAGCATGGGTTGCCGAAGATAAATTCTCAGCCCGATCTTCAGGGGTCATTATGAACATTTACTAAAAATCTTAACAGAAACAATGTTATCCAATTATAATACGGTACAAAACCATTGAACTCTATTCATAAGAAATTGATGGTTCAGTTGGAGATAAATGAACATATAAATCATGCATGTATACAACCCATTGTCAATGGAAAGGCGAAATATTGTTGGTAAACAGAAAGCTGTATAGGTTTGGGTAAAAATATGCTTCCATGGCACAGGCTGTGTTTACGACAAGATACATATCTATATAGTAAGTGACCCTTGACAAGTGTTGCATCATTGTTTCTTTTAAAGGGGCGTTCCTGATTCCCTACGTCATCTCAACAGCTGTGTTGGCAATCCCACTCTTCATCCTGGAGGTTGCTCTTGGTCAGTTTTCTGCTAAAGGACCTATTAAGATTTGGTCAATATGTCCACTCATGAAAGGTAATGACAAGCATATATGTCAGCAAAGAATTTACTTGAAATTAGCGTTTGTGATTCGCGAGGACACAATGTAGCTATAATGTCAAATATTTCAAATATGCTGAAAGACCAACATATATTTTAAAATGAATACCTTGTTTTCATCGCTACATTTAATATGTACGCTTTTAACTCACTCACTCTAAAATTCAATATGCAAGTTCAAAGTTTAACAACATCCAACAACCATAAAATGAACAACACGCAAAGATTAAGCAATATATATATATATAAGTAAAACATTTTCACGTGTTTGTGTATTGACATGTATAGTTTTAACCACGTGCCCATGTATTTTCAACATGTCTAGGTCTTGGATTTTGCATACTGGCAGTTAGCTGTATCGTCGCCCTCCACATCAGTGTGGTATTTTCTTGGGGCGTCTACTACATCTACAGCTCCTTCTCTGACGTCCTGCCTTGGACTACCTGTGGCAATCCCTGGAACACGCCACAGTGTGTCGTGGTAGGCGACACTGGCGTAAATAGTTCAGTATACATGAAACCAACTCGTGTCAGTGACACAACTCCAGATACAACTGCAAGCATTGAATATGCAACTTTTAACAGAACTCAAGAAACGTCAAGTGTGTTTGGACATACATCAACAGAGGAGTTCTGGCAGTGAGTCATGTTATAATGCAATGCATTTACACAACATAGGACCAGTGTACTTTGACACATAAAACTGCCATCAACAGATTTCTTTTACCCTTTATATGATCAGATGCACAAGCCTGTATAGTATCGCACTATTTTCTTCAATGGTTTTTGTAAGATCTTCATGCATCGTAACGCGCGCACGCGCACACACGTATATATTGACCATTTACTACGTGGTGTTGACTGAACGCCAATCATGTCATATATGCTGTCACGTGTCATAACATCCCCAAAGTATAAGGGTGTATAAGATGACGTCTTTCACTGCGTTATTATACCTACCTGAATTTTAAGTGCGAAATAATTGTTTTTTAATAATCTCTGGCTAAACCTATGACAATCGCCAGAAAATACAGCTGGGGAACCATGTTGGTCCCCATTGTCCCTAGTATGGTGTTCGTACCTATGTTGCTGACGTCCTCTAGCCCAGTGTTATGTATCGGTGCCAAGTATTCAGTTTTAATGTTCTGACTAGTTTTAATACAAAAATGTGATATATATTGCTAGTTCATCGATGATAGTTCTTTTAAATTATCATACAACCGTACATGATCATAACATCATACAACTAAATAACTTGATCAAGTCACAATATGACTGAAATACACACTCTCTCACGCACTCCCTCACTCACTCATAACATCTCCAGGAACAAGGCTCTCGGTATCTCGTCAGGGATAGATGACCTCGGCTCTATACAGACTCATCTCGTCATCTGCTGGTTCTTCGCATGTGTTGCTGTGTTCCTATGCGTCATGAAAGGGATCAAGTCCCTAGGAAAGGTGACAACTATTAGTTAATATTAAACAGAGTAAGTATGAAAAATATGTTCCGTTTCCACCAGAAAGGTAATTTCAATGCGCAATGTTGCTGTGAATGAGTATTGAATTCTGATGGCTAATTCATGTAAAAGGAAGTAATTCTGGACTGCCCCAGCAGGGATGTACGGTTACCTCATTTGCAGTCAAACCTAATATTGCTAGTCAGAGCTTTCAAAATGTATATTATATACACCTAATTAAGAATCTGAAGGAAGAATAACACTTTAGGTACACCTCTTAATCCCCTGTTTGTAAATAATTTCGTTAGATCTTTTTGTTCTCCTTGTCTTTATCGTCTCTAAACGAATGCAATTGCATCTCTATACAGGTGGTGTATGTGACAGCGCTGATGCCGTATGTCCTGCTGCTGGTGTTGCTGGTGAGGTCGTGCATGATGCCGGGTGCTGTGGATGGTGTTCTGTTTTACCTAACTCCAGACTTCACACGTCTGCAGCATCCCCAGGTCCGTAAGCGTTATATCTGTTTGAATCCTGCCTTTTGATTGGTATCGGTTCAAAGGGAAACGAGACCAAAGTTATAGTCGTCCCGCCGGCGCCATTTTAATTTACCCACGTCATCACCGGATTCAACTTTAATACGTTGACTGATTGATTACTGTTTTCTTGCACAGTGGATTTCTTTGCAATGTTTTGTATGTAGGTTTACTATAGCAGACGGAATGCACACGTATCTTGGCAAAAGAACAACATAATATATTCTTATGATTACCCCTTAATACGCTAATCTATCATTTGTTGTTTCTGTAACGAGGTTGAGACTTAACCTTAAAAGATATCATACTATTAGATATCCTAATATGCTCAAAGACTGTGGTCTGCTTGATATTAAATGTCAGAATGTTTCAATAATATTGCTGCTCTTCTACGTATCAGCCCACTTAGCATTCAGTCCCTTGAATGTCAATGAGGTATAGTTGCCTATGCTATTGTAAAGCATGTATTTCTACATTGTACTCTCATATAAAGTATCTATCTATCTATCTATCTATCTATCAATCATGGGGCGGTGGGGTAGCCTAGTGGTTAAAGCGTTCGCTCGTCACGCCGAAGACCCGGGTTCGATTCCCCACATGGGTACTAATGTGTGAAGCCCATTTCTGGTCTCCCCCGCCGTGATATTGCTGGAATATTGCTAAAAGCGGCGTAAAACCATACTCATTCACTCTATCTATCATGGTCAGTAGAGAGTTGGATGGGAAACAATATCCCGAAGCGCTGACATTTTTAAAATCAATTGTCACAAAGACACATGACAACAAACAAGTTTCTGTGTACAGCATAAGATGTATGGGATATTGTCCCTGTTTGTGAATATTCACAGATGTACTCCTCGAATAAGGTAACTGCCTAACATGATTCATATAACTTGGTTTGGATGTTACAATCTTGGCAGGCAATTCTTCCCAAGCGCTCTTTTTGAAGGTCTATTTAAACGAATCGCAGGTAGATAACCACAATCTCACACCCATCGACATCATTTGTTCCAAGCAACTTGGTTTGATGTGCACGTGTGCGCGCTAGCTGACTAATGTTAGTTCTTTTGAATATATTCAAAATGTGTATCTCTGCAGGTGTGGTTAGAAGCCCTGGTGCAAGTGTTCTTTTCAGTTGGTCCTGGCTGGGGCACCCTTATTGTCATGGCAAGCCACAATTCCTTTCACTCGAATCTCATAAGGTATTTTTTGTAGTTTTGTTTATTTCTTCCACTCAACTTGCAAACCAGCTAAAGGGAATAGTTCTATGAATATACAACTTCGTTTTTCCAATATATGCGATGTCGTTTCGGTCTAGATGCAATCACCGTGAACTAGAGAACTATCCCCTTGTTTGCTCATGTGCATGTGGACGCCATTCTCTTACAGAGACTCCATCATCGTGACCGTCATAGGCGAGCTGACAAGTGTGTTTGCTGGTTTTGTTGTCTTTGCAACAGTCGGGTTCCTGTCTCATAGTTTACAACAACCTGTTGCTGACGTTGTAACATCTGGTAAGGAGGTTACAGTTGAAATAATGGATTATCTCAATTCAGTACTTATAGCAATGACTTGTCTCAATGCAATAATTACAGTAGTAAGTTGTCACAATGCATTGCTTCCACCAATGTCTTATCTAAGTGAGGCACCTACAATAAGAAATTTTCTCAATGCAGTACTTACACCAATGATTTGTCCCAATGCAGTATGTACAACAATGAATTCTCAATGCAGTAATTACTGAGATGAATTCTCTATGCAGTAATTACAGTGAAGCATTGTAGCAATGCAGTATATACAGTAATGAGTTGTCCCAGTGCAGTTATTACAACAATGAATTGTTTAAATGCAATAATTACAGTTTTCAATTATTTTTGTGCAGCAGAGAATGCAGTAATTGAGGTAAACTAATGTCTTAATGCAGTAAATACAGTACTGCATTGCCGCTGCTGCATGACAGGAACCAAAGTGTCTTAAAAGTGGCGGAATTGGACATGCAATATCTCTGCTTATCACTGGTATCCTCTGAAAACCCTTTCCCATTTGTTGGAATTTTATACCCAATGGAATTATCAGTTTCGTAGGAAGATCAAGACACAATAGTTTTCGGAATCAAATGTAATGGGTCTGAATATTCGTTTTGAAGCCGGCACGTAAGTATATGGTGTTTGTCACAGTATTTTGTACGATGTCCAATTGTTTTGCGTTTTGTTTTGAAATGTCATGAAAATACACTTGTAGGTCCTGGCATTGGATTCATCGTGTACCCAGAGGCAGTTGCATTACTGCCGTTTCCTCAACTGTGGTCCGTGTTATTCTTTACAACAGTGCTGATGATGGTGGTTGACTCAACGGTAATTATAGTAAAAAGCCTAGCTGCATATGTTTATGAATCACCATCAAATAATGACCATATCTAATAATGAAATAGTACATGTAATGAGATCCCATAAATGGTAATGCAACATATATTATGAAAATATATCAAAAACACGCACAAAATATACGGGTTACAAAACACAACGCATATATCACGTGCCATATACTTTTGTACAAGTTGGCCAAGTTGACTGTCTTTCATTCCTTCAATCTATCTGTCCATTTTCCTTTTAAGTGTATTTGTCATAATATAGTTGGGACATGTTGAGACAGCTGTTGGTTGTATGGAAGATCTGCTTCCGAGGCGGTTCCACGTCAAGCACCTGCAGACTATCATAGCTGCTGTGTTCATGGGAGTCGTGTGCCTTGCTGGTCTTGTGTTCACAACTCATGTAAGTGTGATGCTTGTACTGACGTTAAACATAAAATGTATGTCGCTTCGACTTCTTTCTTCATGGATACAATACAGTTCCCTAGAAACGAATTCACATTAAATTTTATTAAACGCATCCATCACACGTTTCTTTATAGTTACACATGTCTATTTATGGACATATGTAGTAAAAACCTTAAAATCGCGATATAAAAACATTCGTAGAAAAATTACACATTTGCATTTAGACAACAATCTAACATATTACCACACAAAAATATACTGGCTAACGTTCCGCATCGTAGTTCTATTATTGGAATAACATGGAGCAGTTAATCGTCTTCTTCAGCTGTTATTGCAGGCCTTTCTTTCTTGTACTAATATAGCTTTTGTGGACATACATTGTGTAACTGCGAGCTCACTTTGAAGTATTTTTCATAACATTTGTCCAGGACTACCATTATATATGTAATATGTTCGTGAACAACTATATTTTAGTGAGATTTAAGTGTAATCTCACGTTAGTGTTGATATCGAAACAAAATCGCTGGAATGTCATTCATTTACTTTGAAATATTCAAATAACCTATCGTATGAATAGAGACATGCGGTGCACGCCAGTGTTTGACTTGTATATGTATGTATTCCAGGGCGGAGTATACGTGTTTCAGTTGTTTGATTGGTATTTGGGTGCTGTGGCCTGCTACGTCATTGCTGTACTCGAGTGTGTAGCCGTTGGCTGGTGTTACGGTAGGGAAAGTTACAAAATGCGTTCTTATATATTTAACAGAACCACCAAAGCCCTTTCCATATTCATAAGTTCATCTTTGTTTTAACCTGGAGTGGATAGTACGATTCAGACCATTCACGAGCATGTGATAACGACTCGTTATCAAAGATGATATGGTGGGTGTATGCTGATCGACTGATACACATGTCACATGCGAAGGAAAGGCAGCAGGTAACCTCAGTGAACAGGAGAACAAGGCTTCACAACACGTGTTGCCATGAAACAGTGGTCACTAACATTTATCCTTGTGATGAATCGACGACCGATCTTCCGTATGATCATCGCTTTTTGCACAATGAACACCATGTCGTTATAATTCCTTCATAAAAAAAACATTCCAAGGATGGCACAAAAACGTAACTGGAGCAATCCTAGAAGGCGCGTATGACGACAAAATTTCTGTTCATGTTTTTCTGACACAAATTATCAAACTGTATTTGACAGGTGCCGAGCGTTTCTCTGCTGATGTGCAAATGATGATTGGAAAACGCCTACCTGTGATCTACAAAGTTGTTTGTTTCATCATCGTCCCTGCTCTCTTGATCGTAGGTCTCATTCTTTTCGTATCAATTCACACCATAAGAAATCCACATATAACACGGGGTTACAATTGGTCTGTCTCATCCCATGCTTGTCGTAAGAGCCCACTATTGGTGTGTGTGTGTGTGTGTGTGTGTTCCTCACTGACTTGTTCCACACATGTCATCGTATTCTTATTGTGTAGATCAGTGGTCACGCAGTTGATCACTGGATTTTCTTGACAGGACTGGATTATATACAGACCACCGCCACGTAGCTGGAATATTCCCTCGTTAAACAACAAACACACAAACATCACTTCAAATACATCTGGTCCACACAGGTAGCAAAAGTACTGTAAGTCCCCATGGACCTTAGTATGGTGATCTACCTTCAGTTGTTGGCGATCTATAGCCTGTTGTTATATTGTATTGTCCGAACAGCGCTATTAGTTTTAACTTAACATGCTAGTTTTCCCATCACGATAAGGCTGAAACATTGTAGATGTGACGTTAAATATTAACTCACTCACTCAAATACATATCTCACATTGGTCAGTACAAAAGTAACTGCTACGTGTACTGTCCCTTCATATTTGCATCACAGGAGGACAACCTGTTTGATTTTCCTTTGAATCTTTTGTCTTCCAAATAAATGATTATAGCTTCTAAGAATAGCATTCAAACTGAGTATATGGTCGATTCCAACGAAAGGTGTACACAGCATGTTTGGGCCCATAACATTTTAGCTTTACTACCTTCATTTATTTCAGGGTGCCTTTCACATCGGCACAAGTGAGACGATTCGGGCCACATATAATTTGACTTTTTTCTAATTAAAAATTAGGCTTATTGGAGACAAAAGCAGGCCATTTTTATTCATTTTGACTTTTCTTTTACAAATGTTTTGTTGAAAACATGCTGTGTGTTAAATACTAGTCAAACTGGATGAAGAAAAGTTTATTAATCTGATTGCCAAATATTTCATGAATAAATTCCCTGAAATGATTTTGTCTAGGGCTTAATTCGTAATTTTGGTCATTTGTTTTCAAATGGTACTTTATTGCGTTACCTACGAATACAGTTTTCAATGACACTGTCAATTTATGTAAATGCAACAGAAGGTTATGTTTTGCATTACTTTTTACAGCATTAATATGTAAAGTAGTCAAATGCAATGGCGTTACATAATATTTCTTACAGGTAATAATCTCATTTGGAAAAGAAAATCACGTTACCTTCAAATACCATTAAATATGTTGCTGTTTCCACAAATGAACACAGTAGTGAATGAGTGCAAAGGGCCACAATATATACGTGTGCTACATCTGAACATTTTCTGTGCTGTTTTTTACGAAGATATCACACAAAATAACCTGTATTCGTAAATCAATTTTAACTCCCAAATGTTACCTACAAGTACCAACAACTGATCACATTCAAATAGATTGGTCGAATGACAACACGTGACTTTTGTTCCATTTGGAAGTCATCATAGATGAGACCAGACAACATATTGGTGATTAGTAAGTGTGTTTTACATTTTTTGCAAGAATGTTATATAAATAAACACATGTCACAATAACATAGGATGCATATGACACTTGTTACAACTAGCCAACTATAAGTTTAGTGAGGTTTTAAGTCTTATTATTGTGAAAAAGGCCTCAGACTGCAAGTGGAATTGACACGGGGACTCAAAGACATGGTGTCCCGCTGGGATTTCCCCCGGTTGTGGCTCACGTCATTTGTAGACAACATGTATTCGTTGTTAACAAAATGAAATAGAGAACACAATACGCTGCTATAACATAATTCATACTGAAGACAATTATTGCAGATCATAAAACTGATTAGGTACGCAGTACTGCCTATTAATAGATTGAAATGGTTCCGTGGAATTCCAAATGGCTACATAACTGAGCGTTTAATAAAAATGTTCTATTCAGGGATGCACTGCAGTTCGTGGTTTAGACTTTATTATAGTGATATATAATGAATTCTTTTTGATTGAAATGTCAAAAAACAAGTTGATCTTGGTGATAAAAGTAAAGGTTTGCATGATATCACGGGATAAACGGTAGATTCGTAGGTAACATGTGTATTCGTTGGTAACATTCCGAATTTGTAGGTAGCATCAGTCAGTGTGTTTGAAGTTGTATGTCTTGTTCAGGGCTGTCACCGAGGCATTTGCAAACATTGGAGAATTGAGACTGTAGTAGATGTAAGTTGCAGGGGTTTAGTAATTTGAATTGTCAAAGGTATGTCTTATTCGTAGGTAACTCATTGTTGTAGTTAAAACTTTCTGTTAATGTCTGTCTAATAGCAATTGTCATTGCAAAATATGGGTAATTAAACCAGAGTTATAGTTCAGTAAGACGCATAGTGTATTGATTGTTTTAGTTACATGTTTATCTGTACATAAGTTTATATGGTATATGGTAATAGTCAAGTGTTTTGAACATTTGTGATGTGCTTTCTTTGAAAACAAATGTCAGTTGACACATTTGGTACATAAAATTTCAGATGTAATGATTTTAGTTCAGTTTCTATACTTTTCATCAACAGTTTACTCACTAGTGTAACTATAGCCACTTACTTCAGGCGACTGTTTTAAACTAAATTTTGCAAAATATTCCATACTTTTAAAGGTACTGTTTACACATGAACTGATGTATTGTAAAACAAATTCGTAACGTTGAAAAGATTATTGTCATGAGTTCAGTAAATGATAAAAATCAGTGAAAATTGGCGAATACTTCACAAGACTTTACACCAAAACGCAGCTGTTCACATGTACGATATTTGCGCATCCTTTTCAGCAATTTGATGCATGTTCCTCGTGCAATTCATCTGCATAAGGTTTGCAGTCGGTTCCCCAAAGTTAGTGGAGAAATCAATCTTCGATGTAGTGGAACACCTTTTCTGGATAGACAACTTATTTGTTGCAGTAGTAGTTCCGACGTTTCGATGTTGATCCTAACACCGTTATCATCATTTGCGTGATAACGGTGTTAGGATCCACACCGAAACGTCGCAACTACTACTGCAACAAATAAGTTGTCTATCAAGAAAAAGTGTCCCACTTCATTAGATAAACTTCTAAATGCCACTTAAGGAAGGAATTCTTCCATGTGACCATATATATATATATATATATATATACACACACACACACACACACACACACACACATAACATATAGTGAGTGTTTCTAGTGATGAGAAGTATATTTCCATCAGTTAAAATGACATTGCTACTTTCCGACATACACTGAGACAAAACAGAGAAAGCCTTAAACTGGTTGTAAACAATCTTCATTCACATGTCCTATGCATTTAGAAAACAATTTCCACACTGTTCGATGTTGTAATATACTAGCTATTATTTAGTTGGACATATTTAAACATTATGAAATACAAGGAATTACGTGATATTTGTTAACTACAAGTACATTTTTTTTATCTTCCACCCAAAATTAGTTATTGATGCATTTTCAATTTTTTTGTACTTACCGAAAGTTCCAACCGTTGTCTCTCAGATGAATAAGATAGATATGTAGTGATGATTTGTTTGTGAAAAGAACACAAAGTAGTGCTATCGCACTTACATCAAACTAAGGTACCAAAATGGTTCTATTTTCGTAAAGCTTGAGGTTATAAAACATGAAAGAAACCATGATATGACTTCAGAGTTTCTATAGTCATTAACATATTGTGCATGCAAAACAACAGTGAATTTGGATGTTAGGCAACATACAATCCATCTAATCACAGGATATACAACGTATGATGTTGGTATTTGTAGGTAATTTAGAAAATGAGCTTTCAACTTCACTGATCCACCAACTTGTCACTTTTAGAGATTAGTGATGGCAACTGATTTTCATAAGAGGCAAATATGTTGACTTTACATTGGTAAAAAGAATTACAAGGTGCAAGCAATTCTATTTTGGATACCTTGTACCCAGCTGTGTACACTTGTCGTTGGAATCGATCATATACGCCAACAAGTAATGTTTTTCAGCCGTATGTGTGTGTACTTCTGAGTATATACTTGAGAATGTTGTTCGGAACTAAAATATATCATTGCAGATAGCTTTGGTTTTGACGTTGGCTTCATACAAGCCTCCAAGATACGGAGAATACGACTACCCCACGTCGGCCATCGTCTTCGGATGGTTCATTGCTTTTGTGTCCGTAGTTCCTGTTCCAGTCTACATGATCATACAAATACTCAAGATGGAAGGACCCCTGGCACAGGTAGAAACAGTTCAAACTTTAAATATGTTGTATGGAAGCAACTGAAACCTCACAAGTCATAAGAACTTTTTTCATGTGCTTGGTCTAGTGTTAACTCAGGTCTGAGAAATTTATTGCTTTTCGTAAGGTGTGAATGAAATAAATGTAGTGGCCAGCCTTTGTGACTTGGGAATATATTGCGTGTATATCGTAGGATGTCGTACCTTTTACACATTTTCACGACGCTTGAAAAGGTTGCGGAAATTATGAAAAGCAGTTGAATTAACCAGGATTTCACAATGCAAAGATGTATTATGAAGACATGAAGCTTAGAGAGATAACATCTTCGTTATTTCCGGATTACTTCTTGTCCTGTCATAGAATCAGACACTTGGTGCATGGGAAGACGTAGAACTGAAATGTCGTTATAAACTATTAAAAACGTCCTCATACATAAAAGTATCACGTCTTCATGTTATTCCGGTCCCTAGTATGGTGATTTTCAGTTGCTGGTGATCTACAGCCCTTTTTTATATTGTATTGTTGTTTATAGTGATATCTTTTTATGATAGCGTGCTAGTTTTAAGTAAAGAGCTGTGGTCCTCTAGTAGTTTTACTGTCCTTCGATGACAGGTATTTTATATTCTAAATTAATGATTTTAATGTTAGATAAATTAAATTGTTTTCGTCACGATATGGCTGAAATAGTGCCGATGTGACGTTAAATATTAACTCACTCACTCCCTCTTCATGTTTTTCCAACTTGAAAATGCCGTTAAGCCGTTCGGACATTATGGTATGAAGAGTACAGCGCTATTGACAGGTGGCATGTCTCACTTGCCCATCTTGAACATATTTTATACACAAATTACCTATATGCTAATTGTCCTGTAATATGCTTTTATGTGATGCAACGTTATCACTTGATCTCTCTGGTTTCTTGAGAAACGTTTGACGCTGCACCCAGCAATATTCAAGCCACATGGCGATCTTGAGAAAGGTAATTGCTAGCTCAGAAATATCACGGTAAAAGGTGCATACATGTACACACACGTTTAGTATTTCCGTCGCTATTGCCGTGAACATGGCTCCTGTACAATTCCACCCAGGACGAATTTGCGAAAAAACTAAAGCTAGTATAACGTTACATTTCAAGAATGTGGTATCGGTAAAGCGTCATATTTGTATGTGGTCCCTCTTGTTTATCCAATGTCCTAATATTTGAGGTGTTACCTTTGGTTGTGTGTGCATCTGATGTTTCAGCGTATTAAAGCTTCCGTGATGCCCGCGCATGAGTGGCTGAGATCAAGACGACAACATGGACTGGACGACAAACAAGAGTCGATATCTGCGAAGGATAACTTCCTGTTTATGATCGGGCGATAATTACACCCACCACGCTCTATCGGGGACAGCTGTTTCGTATCTGTGTATGCGTGGTCGCCATGCTTAGCACGTTTATGGTTATTGACGAAAGGAAGACATAGTGATGAGTGGATGGCCGTGAATCTTGGCATGAATGTAAGTGAGTAGGTTAATATTTAAAGTCACATCGGCAATATTTCAGTTATATCGTGACTCAATATAGGTAATAATTTTAGAATAAATAAAGGCTATTGAATGCCAACAGCTGAAGGTAGATCACCAAACTAGGGACCATAGAATACCGATTAGAAGCTGAATACTGATTAACTGTAACTATGTGTTGCCACCTTGCTTTTGTTAGTTGCACACTGTACTTGTACATGTGCTGACACATTGCTGATTGTTAGTAATGGCTGGAAGTGGTGAATGGGTGGTTACTTGTCTTGAAATTTTGCATGTTGGAATGCCATTAGTTACGTGATGTAAGAAGACGATAACATACATAATAATAATGAATTGTTAGTGCTGAAATAACGGGTTACTAATCATTTTTATGTCAGTTACCTGTATACCACTCTGAAGCTCCAGTTTTAGATTAATTGTATGATTGCTATTGTCATTATTCATGTGTAGCGGGCGTTTGTTGTTTTTTTCTCCTGTCCAGTTACCTGGCGAAAACGACTTTTTCGTGTATGCAATGTAGTAAGGTCCATATCTGTTTTCAAACAATATGCCAACAGAAAACATTTAAACACCAACTTTCTAAACTGCACGTTGGCAAACACACTCGTATTATTACTTTCGACTTAATTAGCGACAGTGCTTCTTTTATTGAGATGTAAATCTTGCTGAAAACTAAAACTGTTTTAACATTTGATGTACTCTTCGAATAATAAGAACTTATCGTTATATGTTTGATTAGTATATTCATATCGATTATGTTTGTTTGTTTTATCCTCAAGAGTCAAATATAGCTAGCTTTATTTCTTGTGTTACGTTCCCATTAATTAACGTATCGAGAGCAAAGTAAATATATTATATGTTTTTAATTCTTAATCTTGTTAGTTTTAAACAAATCACCATGAACACATTTATGCTCTTATTCTCTCTAACACCTGCCACAAATATACTATTCACCATTAACTGTTTACTTTCATGTGTGCATGAAATGGAAACTTCTTTCCGGTAAAATATAATCAGCTGATATATCAAATATAAAGTGTACGCCAATATATTTCAAATTCTGTTTCAGTGTTCATTCCGCCACATATGTTTTGTTGTGGTATTTGTGCAAGTTGTTCATAGTCTGTTAATTTCTAATAAATATTCTTGCGTCGCCTTTCATTAACTTTTGTAATTTTTATATGATCCTTAAATGCATGGCGTATGACTGTTTTGTCCATATCTACGTTGTTACGAATTGATTCCAAGTTGAAACGAAAAAGCTCACGGGGAATCAGTCAGTAAGATAATTACGTGTCAAACTAACAGACAATAAAGAAATGTACTGCAACTAATGACTGTATTCTATAATTAAGGAAGTATACAAATATATACAAATCACTACAAAGGTACCAATCGAGCAGTACAAATTTAAATACAAATACAATACAAGAACATTGATTGTAGCTATAAATACAACAATTGTAATATTCACATCTCAGCAACAGTAGTCCTACTAAAAAGTCACATCTAGGCATAGAGTTTCCAGGGTATGATCGTCACATGCAGTCCTGGTCTGCCTGTGGCTTCAGATACCATCTGATGCAGATGATTTAGGAATACAGGTCTCTTCAAAGGCATCAGTAGAGCAGTACACATTTATAGGTAATACAATACAAGAATTGATTGTAGCAATAAATACAACAGAGGTAATTTTAACATCTCAGCAACAGCAGTCCAACTTGGAAGGAAGAACTAGGCATAGAGTTTCCAGGGTATTATCGTCACATGCAATCCTGGGCTTCCTGTGGCTTCAGATAGCATCTGAGTCAGATGATTTAGGAATAAGTTCCTTGTAGACTTTTCCAGATCACTCTATCAATGTACAGCAGATGATACATTGTTACCATTGTTGCCACAACATGTAACACTGCCCCATAACAATGTTTTGTGAAAAATGTGTATCAGCAAAGAAGATATTTTGAAAAAACTTCCAGATCGGTTGCATGCTTCGATATACAATTGTGACAGATACTCGGCATATCCCAGAGTGATACATTATGCTTAGGAGCAACATCATATACTGCAGAGTTTAAACAAATATATAATAACTAGAATGCAGAACGTACATAGTCATGTCACGAGGTTGTGTTAGGAATCGCAACATAAAAGCGTTTTAGCAAGCTCCTTATGCTCACCTGTATATATACCAAGACAAAATTTCCAGCAAAATGAAACACAGACAGGTCTGTAATATTGAATTAGATATTGAATGAAGACAGGGTTACAATAAATGACCGTACAGATTTCCAATACAATACAATTGAGTCACAAATCTAAAATATTGGGTCACAAATCTAAAATATTAACTTACCAAAGTCTTGATATTCCTGGTAAACAGATGTGCTGATTGAAGATTGTTAACAGCTGTTGAATTATCAATGTAGACGAGTGGTAGGTCTCTTGAGTGGTGAAACGTCGATGTTAGCAAACAGATGAGCGTAAATCCAAAGCAGTAGTAGTCCCCTCATACATCTCAACAACCATCCCTTATACACCTATGATATTAGACTTTTCTAGCAGAAGCCATACCACGTCGGAATCATGTAGAAATTACTCTGAACTTCCACCATTCGTGACCAACTCGTGTTATTCCGGAGAAGCCGAATAGCGACTCGTGCCCCTCTGGAAAGATTTCATATTGGCGTATGAACATCGGAACTACTTTAAATAAGTAACATATGTTATATTTGGGTAGCTGAGCGGTCTAGGCGTCTGACTTTGTGTGCTCGCGATTAGGTGCCTGACTCTGAGGGTGCGAGTTCGAATCCCGGATGGTGCTCAACTAAAAAAAAAGTACTAGAATTTCTACTTTACTAAGAAAGTGTAATGCCAAATAGAACATATGTTACATTTCACCACTTTCTAAATGGCATTGTGTAATCATACTTTAAACAGAAAAGATAACTATGTTCCTTTTGTTCATTCCAATGGTATTTAATATCACCGAAGAACTCGTACATTGTATTTATCAAATATCATACAACCGAAAGACGAAAAAAATTTGTTAAACGCATATTCTAACCTGTTCACCTTATATTTCCAAATGTATATTATTAATATTATATATATTATAAATAGGGTTTAAGAATCACAAATGGGATTTGTTTGACTGAATAAGCAATTATATAATATATAATGATATAACCTTCAGCTACAATATTTTCCAAAACAGAAACTCAAAATAACTTTCAAATATTTCTCAAACTGAACTTTAGTGTAACCTTGCTGCCATACGACTGGTGGAATTTTAGAATGGATACGCTGAACAAAATATTAATGACCCTGGAAAAGGGTCCATGGCATTATTCTTAATAAAAACTTCACGTGAGGCAACACAATTCTTCATGATTTCTTAAACAATAACATAATGACATAAGTATTGAAGTACTTGGGATTGTTTTTATCAATGCACTGCTTTGTCTGGTTTGATACGATTCTTGGCAGGTTTATACATGTACGAGTCTTCTTGTAAGTCACGGAAAGAGGAGAGTAGTTACGAATGAAAGCAAACAAAGGGCAGGTAACTCCCAAGCTCACACTCAACAGGTGAAAATACATAGCCGAAGTTCAAGGTGTGAGTTAAAATTCACACTCAGCGCTTTACACTTTTGTGACCCATAACAACTAACACAGGACCAAAAGCCGGATAGTAAACTATTGAAATAAACGTAAATACAGTAGGAAATACATGACATGACCGGATTTACGTATGTTTTCAGTTTTTTCGTGTGTCCATCATCTGGTCACCTACCGTCGGATGAGTGGGTTCCTTGTTGGCCACAGGATTGTGTACTGTACACTAGGGGTTGTGACAACACTGAAAGAGCCTGCAAGTAATGTAAGCTCCAAGGTTTGTACACACGGTCACAAGTGGGGATCGATCCTGACACCTTTCGCTTACTAGCGCGGGGCCTCAGACAGCTCGCCCACCATGCCATTTGTTTATAACATTTGTCTGGTTGACATTTGAGCTTGAGTGGTAAGTATGGTGACAGGAAAATCCATTAACACAGGATAACTAGCACACATGTGGAAACAGTTATCATTTTATCATTCTTGATACCAGAGAATTACTCAGAATATGTGGAATGTAATAATATTTTGGGGGAATTGCTTTTGGCTTAGAGTGAAATTGTAAAATACCATTTCCTACCTTGAGAAAGGTTTGAGAGCATACGGCTTAAAATGCATGTGTCTGGAGTGTTTACCTCCCATTGACAGCGATCAGTTGGTGATTGATATAGAAGCTTAAATGAAATGGGAATTATACAAACAGGGAACTTGAAACGTAAATTATTATCTCTTTGAAATTAATGTTTTTGAATTTGTCAATCCAAGCAGGACCTCTTATTCAGTTCCATGAGAAAAAGGAATAAGATCAGAATGCGAGCACAACTGGTGCCTACGTCCTGAATAAATGTCTTAGCCCCAAATGTTACATAGTTGCTGCCAGTAACTGACAGAGTTTGGTTTCCGCCGCTTTTAGCAATATTCCAGCAACATCACGGCGGGGGACACCAGAGATGGGCTTCACACATTGTACCCCTGTGGGGATTCGAACCCGGGTCTTCGGCGTGACGAGCCAACGCTTTAACCTCTAGGCTACCCCACGGCCCCCTGCTGTCAATGAGGAAATGTCACATATAATTTCCCAAGTAAACATATTGAACCTCTGGAGATAGATTCAAAATTTATAGCTTTATCTAAATTCACTGCATTTTTAAAAGCTTCATGGATCAAGCTAAAGGAGTGGAGATTTCGTCAATGGGTCATGTAATACAGTAGTGTTAAAAGTT